GGAGGCCCTCTGAAACGTTGGTAAAGATCGACCAGACTACACAGCGCAACAACCCAGAAGACAGAAATATTCATACTCATCGCCCTAATGACGGGGGCAGTATGACCTCTGAAACGTTGGTTAACATCTACCAGACTACTCAGCGCAACAGCTCAGAAGACAGAAATCTTCATACTCATCGCCCTGATGACAGAGGCAGTATGACCTCTGAAACGTTGGTTAACATCTACCAGACTACTCAGCGCAACAGCTCAGAAGACAGAAATCTTCATACTCATCGCCCTGATGACAGAGGCAGTATGACCTCTGAAACGTTGGTTAACATCTACCAGACTACTCAGCGCAACAGCTCAGAAGACAGAAATCTTCATACTCATCGCCCTGATGACAGAGGCAGTATGACCTCTGAAACGTTGGTTAACATCTACCAGACTACTCAGCGCAACAGCTCAGAAGACAGAAATCTTCATACTCATCGCCCTGATGACAGAGGCAGTATGACCTCTGAAACGTTGGTTAACATCTACCAGACTACTCAGCGCAACAGCTCAGAAGACAGAAATCTTCATACTCATCGCCCTGATGACAGAGGCAGTATGACCTCTGAAACGTTGGTTAACATCTACCAGACTACTCAGCGCAACAGCTCAGAAGACAGAAATCTTCATACTCATCGCCCTGATGACAGAGGCAGTATGACCTCTGAAACGTTGGTTAACATCTACCAGACTACTCAGCGCAACAGCTCAGAAGACAGAAATCTTCATACTCATCGCCCTGATGACAGAGGCAGTATGACCTCTGAAACGTTGGTTAACATCTACCAGACTACTCAGCGCAACAGCTCAGAAGACAGAAATCTTCATACTCATCGCCCTGATGACAGAGGCAGTATGACCTCTGAAACGTTGGTAAAGATCGACCAGACTACAGAGCGCAACAACCCAGAAGACAGAAATCTTCATTGAAATGGATCTTTGTTACATGGGATATGATGATGTAGACCCGACTGGAGAGAGTAAAAAAAGCTTCTACAACCATAAAGAGAAAACTTTTGTTTTCATAAAAAAAGTCAGGAATTTCTTGACAAGCTGAATAAATATTAAGTTCTTAGAAAGGCCCTGTACCGTAGTGTTAACTCTCAGTTTTTATTTTAGCACTAACAGTATTTTTGAAGACTAAAAATTATTGACTCACCATTTTGTTGGACACCTCAGCTCCTATCATTTTTGGTCTCTTCAGTGTGGCATCAGAAACATTTTCCTTATTTTCCAGCTTCAGCCTGTCGCTGCTTTTACGGCGAGGTGGTACAGGTGGTGGAGTGTGAATCACAGTCTCCTCTGTGACTTCAGTACTCCTGCTAAGCATATCATCTCTGCTTGCAGACCTCATAATGACAGAAGGCTCCTTTTCTCTTTCCGACTCATGTTCTTTTCTCATAGTTGGTGATTGTATTCCAAATTCTAGAGATTCCATGGGTGAACCACCAGGTGGAGGAGGGGACCGATAGGGGGGTGGGTGGCGAGAAGGGGACATGGCATTCAAAGATTCTTCTGAAGCAAAGAGGTTACCAGAAGGGACCATGCCAGCAGGCGAGGACAAAGAATCTGACGATGGACTGAGTAACACCGGTGATGCGACACTTATTCCTGGACTTTGCGCTCCCATTGGATTACGATACTTTTTCTTTAGTATCAAATACTTCTCGCCCTGAAAATTGAAACAATTTTGTAACATCTTCCTTATTATTTAATATTAGCTTACGTGTTTTAAAATAAACATCTCAAGTATAAAATGTAAACTACATATTTCAATATGCTGCATGTATATATTTACCCCTTCATTTCGAATTGTAGCCACCATATTTACAAATTCCTTAAACTGATTGCGAGCCTCATCTGGAAAGATTATAAAAATTATTAAAGATGTAAGTAAATTTAAATAATGTTATAGTAACATAAACTCAAATATACCTGATCATTCAAGATAATAAGAAATTATTTTGCCACTATTCCTCATGTGCACATGTTAAGTACAGAACAAATAAAATAATACAAAAATTTCTGTAAGAAATTCTCTCAAGACAAGGTTATATACAAGTCCTGAGATAAACTTAGATATTCCATGGGCTAATTGTATTAAAAATAGTGGTTTCATAATCTGGCCTTGTTATTTGTACACAATTAGTGACTCATTAAGACCTCTGGTGGGTAAGCCATCATTTCACAATCAGTTCAACTAAAAATTGATTCAACATGACTATCTTGACTAATACACAGCTTTACAATAAAAATATCCTAAAACTATTCTATCGTACATGCTTCCACCATGGCTAAATCTGCAGTTTAAGGTTACCAACGCAAATAGCCACCTTACTGTAAAGACATTCGAAATTTCTAGTAAAAATTAACAGATCGAAAGCCTTACTATTTACCGTCAGTTGCTATGAGATTATGTTATGTTAATGTAGAGCACCGAAACTAAACCACAATTATTCTATCAACGAGCAAGTGGAAATATTATCACTGAAATAAAATAACGGAAAATGTTATTAAATTATACATTTATAGCTGGGAGTGCCAGACACTTGTTTCAATCACCCTTCAACTCATAATGTTCAAACCCATAATGAAAGGAATAAATACCTCTTGTTTCAGGATTAGTAAGAAAGCGTTTGAAATGTTTCACTAAATCATGGTTTGTCACTTTACCACCATTTTCCAACATAAAATCCCGAATTGCTTGCACTGATAACTCACTTGGCACCGCCATCTTGGAAACTACAGCTGGGACTTGAGAACAGTTGACACACAAAATTCGTACACGACCGATTTCGATGGCTGAATCGGTATTGTGGAATTTGAGGTTTCCACGGCGGTGAGTTGAAGATGGCTGTCTTCTGGATTGCCCTGCTGATGGAGGCAGCAAAGACCTCTGAAACTTTTTCCAGACTACATGGCGCAATAACCCAGAAGACAGCCATCTGGATCGGTACTGTTATGTTCAGGTTTGTATAAAAATATTCGCAAAAACCAATTTTTAGTGAGAATAATGCAGTTTCAGAAAAGTGGAAACCGCATAAATAAAATTTTTACAAAAAATAAATAAGTAATAAAAATAAAATAAATCACACATATAAACAAATTTAATTATTTTCTTATTCTCCCGATGTCACAAATATATACTATTAAAATTATTGGTTAAAACACACCCGAACTCGCTGAACTGTGCTGACATTTTAAGATATTTTTTTCAGATTTTTAACTCTTATATCTCTTCTGGGTTGTAACGCCGTCAGTAACGTTCATTAAATCAGAAAGAATGATAAAAACGGAACAAGTAGCACACAGAAATATCTAAAAATGCATAAAAAATATCTTCCAGGAAACTTAGAAGAAGATGAGAGGATAATGCTAAAATGGATCTTAGAGGACTATTGTGTGAAGATGTGGATAGATTCTACTGATTCAGGATACAGTTCAACGGTGGAATTTTGAGAACAATGTAACGAATCTTTGGGTTTCATATAGGAATTTCATGGCCTACTCCTGAAGATTCTGTATCGTCGAGTTAAGTGGTTGGTTAGCTGCATTCTCTTTAACAAGATAAATAGTAATTCAAACAATGAAATGTATTGTTTAGTTAATTAAAACTTGCAAACACGATGTACTGGAACAGAATTTGTATTCATCAGAAAACATAACAACTATGAATATCACAATTAATTATCAGCCGTACATAACGAAGAACAACAAAGGAAAGAGATATCTACGAGAAATGTTATCTTCATCATTTAGAGGCTGACATGGAAACGTTTATTCTGCTAAAATAGTGTAATTGTTTTAGTAAAACACAACTCATTGTAATGAAACAGCAGCTAAATTGTACCAGAACTGTGGTGCCTGCCCCGTGGTACGGGGTAGCTCGGTAGTGCTATTCATATGATAATAGGCTGCTATAGTCCCTGCAGAGGCAATCCTAAGCTGTCATATCGCCGGTATTATGAACTGAATGAGTATGAGTAAACACGCGGAGAAGCTCTGTACTGCAGTTCACCTACAGATACACCGAGTGAATGCGTAGACAAATGAATGGGTGGACGAGAGAACTGAGAGATCGGTCATGGATGAATGAATGTAAGGATTTATGGATTGGTATGTAGCTAGATGTAGAGCCGAGAGAAAAGAATTGTCTGCAAAATTAGTTATTAATTTTGCTTACACAAAAAATATGAATATTTGGATGACTGAATAAAACAACGGACAGACGAAAGTATAATAGGCGGGCGGATTGATGTGTGGTTAAATAGACGGTTCTAATTTAATTCTTATTTAAATTAAAATAAGAGACGAACAAATAGGAAATGCCTTATTTTTAAAGTGTAAAGTTTGCTGCCAGCATTAAAATGTTTTGCCCAAAAACGAAACCGCTAATCAGTAAGATCAGGAAGGATGAAAGAAACAGATTTTCTTGTGACACCAGTGACAGAAGAAATCCAGATTCATTTTATATTGGAGTGAATGTTTTGGAGTGAATGTTTTTTGATGTTCTACATCGGCCTGTAATACAAATGATTTAAAGAAATATTAATGAATATGAAAGAATATGAAAGAATATAGTAACAAAATAATATATTGGAAAATAACATCAAAAAACATTTACTCCAAAACATTCACTCCAATATAAAATGAATCTGGAAGTGAACATCTCCAAAAAGTTGCATATCAAAAATTGTAATTAAGTTTTAAGTTTATAATTTTAACTTTTACACCTGAAGATGGCTTATATAGAAACCGAAACATGTTGTAAAAAGATGTTCCAATTGTAAATCGATTGTTCGATGAGGAACATAAAATGATATTTTAATTATCTTAATTGTAAATTTAAATATGAATTGTGAATAGACGGACAAAAACCGAATAATTAATTAAATTTCACAATATGACGCAACTATATCATCTTAAGAAGAAATCCGCTCTCTGAGACAGGACGAGGTTGCAGTTGAAGGCCAACGAAGTGGACTTCATCTTCGTTTAATTCGCCGACCCTGTCTGCCAAGTCTCCATAGTGAGCCAGCCTGCGGGGGGGCTAAAGTCGGCTGGCTGTAGACACAGTTTCCCTGCTCGTGGCCTGCTGCCTCCTCAGGCAACGGGAGACTTTCCACTTTCTTGTCCCATCATCCCACACTTATTTCTTTCTTCGTTCTTCCGTCCTACATTTAATCTTTCTTTATTCCCCTATTTCTACATGTATTTCACCTTTATTCTGCCCTTCCTGTATTTAATCCTCTTCTGGATCGATTATTTAAGTGAAATAGTTTTATATCGTATACCCTGACAAAAATGTTACGGTAAAGTCAACGTGACGCACAGATAGATAATTCTACCATATATGAGCTTGTTCATATGCCGTTTTGGCGATGCAAAACGTCAAGTCTCTTCAGGAAATTATATCACCACGGAAATTCCAATTCAAAAGATGGCGTTTGCCTTTGAATAAAATTCCCTGCTTCGTCAAGGATATCACTGGAGCATTGGAACGAAATAGACACGAATATCAATGCAGTCCATAAGGAGATATGGCATATGAGAGTGGGGAAAGGGACGCAAGTCAAGGGGTTGGATACCGAACATCATTACAATTATGTAGATCCACGGAAGGAGCAGGAAACTGAAACACTTAACATCGTCAAGACAATGCTCTGTTTCTGCCGGAAACTGGAGCCCCAGCCCATTCTTTCAAATCATGCGGCTTAAAACTTGTTGTTCTTTGTGTACTCCCACGACTGCCTCGATTTTCCGCTTACACATCTTACATCTCCCGTATTAGGATTTACTGTAGATCCTATCCAGTTCAAAACTACTGTAACCTTAGTAATGAACTGATGAACCACCTTAATTTAAACAAGTACCAATATAACTACTCCTTTTAATTAATTCCATGGTACAGAGTCTGCAGCAACTGATAGTTCCTCAGTTGGTCAATATATTCTCTCCTTTTGTGGAAGCTAATTAGTCGTTACAATGTGGATTATATCCAGAGTAAAGAGAAGCCAGCCAGTCCACAAATTTGCGTCATATTTTGTAAGACTGTTTCAATATTCTTCTCCCATATACTCCATTATTTATCGCGTTACTTCTTCCCCTTACATTTTTCAATCAAACCCTACATCAATATTTCTATGAGTACCATATTTTCCGCCCATTTCGTACTTATCCTGTGTCACTGAAACTATATCATTCCTGTATTTTTTTAAAGCTAAATGTTTATTACTTTACAGTGATGAAAATTAAGAGATACTATAGAAATATTAGAACAGAGGAAATTTTATTTTAACTTCAAGAGGTCAGTATAAAACATTTAGTACAAAACGACGTACAAACACAAGGATACGTGGAAAATATGTGAGTTGCCTAATACACTACAGAAAGGTACACCAAATTTGAAGCGACAGATGTTTTTGGACAAGACAATGCTACGTTATAAAATTATTAAGATGCTAGTTGCAGCACTGAAAAGATCGTATTCAGCGGAATTATAGCACTTAAATTTTTCAGAGTTTCCTGGTCAGTGCTTGTCTACGTGTTATGGGCAGGCAAAAACAATGAACGGTTCTTTTTACAACCCCCTTAACTCTAACTGACGCTATTTAAAAGAACATAAAACATTATTAGAACATTGAGATAGCAGTGGGACTCCATCTAGTGTGTAAATATAACTGTGCACTTTCCTGAACAACAGCTTGATTCTAGAACAAGTCTGGGACGAACAACATAGAAGGAAACAGCACAAGAGTTGAAAACGGGAGTAAGATAAAGAAGGGAATGAAAGAAAATCAGGACGGAAGAACGAAATAAAGAAGGGCAGATGAAGGAAAGTACAAACAGCTAACATTTAAGGAACCGGCGTTTCTCAGTGTAGGATGTAAACCAATGTTTCGATGGAAAATATTTCTCTGTCTTCAGGGCTAATGATTAAGGCAGTCTGTTTCTTCAACAAGTAATATAGCCTTCAGCCAAAATACTACAAAGCGACATCCCTGAAAACCAACACTATGTAAATGTTTACAAATTTTTTAGAGAAAAAGGGATCTTTCACTCCTCTGAATGTCAACTAACCTATATTTTAAGTAGGGGCCGTAAGTTCCAAATCACATCACGAATGTTAATTTAGAGCGTAGTTATTACAAAAGGCCAAACAGACTCGGCAAATTTTGTCTACGTACGTGCGGTTAAGAACTGAACCGGAAGGCTAATGTATGAGGGAGGGAGGAATATTTCACATGGATTGACGGTGCGGAGAACATGGCCTTATCGGCGTTCTGTTTTATCTGGTTAACATCATTCTACTTCTAATATAATGCCGATGAGGAAATGTTGATTGCAGCAGACTCCGTGTACAACAACATTAGTTTTTCCTACCTTTCTACTCCCACGATGTCACTGTTCGGATGCCTACACATCCTTCAACAGTGCGACTGACAAATATGCCGGCCACTCACACGAACTATACAAAAAACCGACGCTTAAATCGGAAAGTTGTGTATCTTTTTTTCTGCGAAATTACTCAACAAGACTAACTACGTTTATTCTGAGACCAGCCAAATGCCGGGTCATAGAGGAAACCCCCTGTCTTAGAACTGAGGGTATAGTGTGTGTTGCTTGTTCATGGGGTTGTGATGAATGAAGATGGAGCAACGATTGAATTATGATTATCAGGAGAAAACCAAATAAATGTGGGAAATCCTGCTCCATTCGCATTTCGTCCACCACGTACCT